TCGTGTCTCTCACCTTGCTGCACGAATGCTCCATAAACGATCCAGATGGCACTGTGCAGAGTGCCTGACCCCATGGTGCTGGGTGGCTGGCCTGGTGGTGCATTCTGGTTGGAGGACGAGCGCAGCGCCTGCAGCCTGTTGAGCAGGAAGATAAGCACTCCCACCACCGGGATCGCCGCGGCGATGCACGCCCAGACGGCGAGGTCGAAGGGTGCGAAGAGGGAGAAGATGTTGATCTTCTCCTCAGGCTTTCGCAGCAGGATGCCGACGCTGTAGTCCAGGTAACGTTTGCTGAAGTCCACCACGTTCTCCCTCTCTGGAGTGATGGTGATCGCTGACACCGCCAGGTCGGCTCTCTGGGGGAGGAGGGAGGGGACGCAGAGGGAGACAGGTGTGCCACTCAGAACATAGTATTAATGTTTTGATTTGAAAAGACTGAATTTATATCTGATTGAGTCAAGTGTTTCAGGCTCAGACACTTGACTTGAGTACAGTACGACCCTTTTATTTAGGCAACAGTTGCAAATTTTACCTACGGTTGGTGCTCGATGGATTTTGAGTCTAGCTTTACCTTGTTGATGAGATCACCAATCATCCCGTTCCACGAGCCGTTTGGAAGCTGAGATCCATATTTACTGTCTGCCACCTGGAGAAAAGATTGATAAGGTTCAGTTTATACTCCTCATTTCATCCAAAAACAAAAATCCTCGAGTCGGGCTCAACGTCATGAGGAAAACAAGATGAAAGCTCAAATTTCAACAAGTCTCATATGATTCAACATGTGATTTTTGTGCTGAGAGAAACGTGGTGAAATCTGTAATCATCGGTCCAAAATGTCGAGACATGTCCACTAACGGCCAACTGCATTCTTTGGAGGCTAAAAAAAGACGTGCTGTATGAAAATACTACAATCTGACTGCTGCTATGAAAAATGGCTCCAACACTATGAGAACTGTGCAGAATGGATGATGGGGGTTCTTGACGTGTCTTAGCTTGGTGTACAGCCACAATTCAGCAGACATCCATCGCACAGTCTGAGGCCTCGGAGTCGACGGTGTGCAGTCAGAGACAGATCGGGGTAAAGATTTTATTAGATCAAAAAGGCTCCGTGTGTTAGGGACGGGTACGAGTACTCGATGTTGACGTCATTATTCGAGTAGCGTTTCACTACTCGTGCACCTGCGCACGTGTTGTTTTTGGCTACAATGGTTCAACTCAGTTGGCGTTACGTGCACCATGGCAGCCGTGACCAGTGAAAGTGATGTCTGGAACTACTTTGATAAAAAAGACGACAATAACGTGCAGTTGTGCAGTTCAAGATATGTGGTGTTAAACTTGCATATCATGTTCTCTGACAGTAGGCCTGGTCAGGGAGGTCCATGTCCGACCTCCTGTATTTCTTTTTTTTTTTTTACGGTAAAAATATATTTATATACATATATAATTTGCGAGTAATGGAGTACTGGTTCAGCTACAGGGCAAGCTGTGATCCAGCGTTTAGCTCAGGTCTACGTTATCAAAAACAGCTGAGAAACTGGTGATGAAGATCAATACAGCCAAGAGTTTGTTTAATCTCATGTGGGACAGAGTGAGTCATTCTTCTGTATGGTGTTCATGTTTGGACTAAAACCTATGCGTGTCAGTTAGTCCCACCTGGTAGATCTCATATTTGAAGCCCAGGATTTTGGCGAGGGCGTCCAGGACATCGATGGAGAAGCCTTTATATCTCTTCGGCTGCCCCAGGATGTTCTCTGCCACCATGACGAAAGGGTCCTCCTGCAGAAAAAGAGAGGGAGGGAGGGGGCTTAACAGTGTGTTCACCAAACTGCAGCTTCAAAAAATAAAAAACAAACAAAGTAAGATGAACTTCCTCAGTCTCCGAGAGGAAATCAGAGCAAAAACAATAAACAATTCTGAGGTTTGGCTACTGACAGATTTAGTGTTATTTAAGGTACCTTTGAGAATATGTGTAGAATATATTTGAATATATATGATACTGGCATACAGTATCATCACCTTCTAAGTTGATGTGTTGAACTTGTGACCTCACAGCTGTTTATTTCCACATCGAGCAGACAGAGATCAACATGATGATTCATGTGTAGTGGTGTCTGTGTCCCAGTGTTCCCTCTCTTTCTTTCAGCTCTGTGTTTGGTCTCCACCGGCTCCTGAGGGAAATCTCTGGCTCTTTAGCTGCTAAATGCTCCACTGTGTTCACCAGCTGCTCTCTGACTGTGCCTGTCTGCTGTTTTCCTGCTGAGCAGGTAGAGGAAAGTGGCTTCTTACAGATGTTTCTCTGAAAACATCTCGCTGCTGCAGCTGAAAACGACACTGTAAGAGCAGTGAGAGTGGACCAGAGCAGTAACGCTGTGTTCGGACAAATAAACAATGAGCTGAAACTCACTGTAAAGTTCTGTCAAACTGAGGGGAGCTGCAGATTCAGCTGGTGACTCTCTGTAGGTTCATCACAACCAGAGTCGCCTTACACATTGTCACATGGTTTTTTACATTCTCATTTCACACATTGGTATTGTAAAAATACTGATTATACTCACCCTGGGACCAGGGATTTGGATTTTGTGGATTTTGTTTTAACACTGTACATGAATTATTGAACATTAACTGGGTACTAGGGTTTTTCTTTTTGACAGAAGAAAACTATAGTTGTGTAGCCTGCTACCTTGCTTTGATTTGGCTCTACCCGCTGGCCCCCCGTTTCCTCACCTCAGTGCTTCTGGTTGTTGTGTTTGTAACTGATCAATTTTAAGTCTGTAAAACTCTCAACATTTTTACCCATTTAACCTGTGTAATGTTCCCTCCCTTTCCCCCGGTGTTTCTGAGTTGTAAAATGCAACATTTTTAAACTAATTATATCCCTTAGTATCTATAATAAACATCAATGAATTGCAGGACTTTTTTTCACAGAAAAAGTGAAGTGCTCACCTCTATTCAGACAGAAGCGTGGGAGAATATATGGTGAGTCAAAGTAACAAAAATCAGCTGTGTATAATCACCGAAATGCAGCTATTCAATTACCACAGACGCTGAGAGAGTGAGAGACGATTCATGTTTTACCTTCTCACATGATCAGGTTTACTGATAATGTCGGTGCATTCAGGCGTCTGTGTATCAGTGGCTGTGTGTTGGGTGAGTGTTGGTAGCTGGCAGCAGTCAGAGCTGGAAGTGTTGCTGCTTCAGGGGATGAACCGCAGGGCGAAGGTATTAGTCTCGCTTGGTTAGACCTGCGTCTCGTCGGTGCTGTGCCAGCACAGGAGGAATCTCTGGCTGAACCCACCCGCTGCTGCTGCTGCTGCTGCTGCTGCTGCAGCTGCTCTGGGACCGGGGGGGGGCGAAAAACGCCCGGCTGTTTGTATCTCTTAACCTAATCACACTGACCGGAGGTGCTGCTTAAGTCAAGGTGCTGGATCAATGTCCTCTCAGAAAAAAATAGAAGAGAGGAAACCGTTGGGTGGAGGAGCTTGAAGAAGCCACGGATGACTGAAAATAATAAACACTCAGAAAAACTCAGAAACAAACTGAGCTGTGTGAAGTAGTTTTTTATTGACTGAGGGATTTTTTTCTGGGGATTTACTGTGGTGGTTTTGTGCTGTGGAAAGTTGAATTATTTCTACATCAAGAACTGAGCTTGTGTTGAAAGAACTGAATATACACCAAACTAACACTGGGTAGTTCCTCGGTTCTTCTTCTCATAGATCAATGAGAACCAGATGTAGAAACTTTCCTTTTGAGACTGTGCTTCATGTTGACATGACTGCATCACATCATTGCTGCAGATTCATGCTGCCAATCTCCTGTTCTGCTCTCTACTGGATACAGGTCTGGAGACTGAAGTTCACTGAACTCACTGGCATTCACACCACGACTGTTAATAAGGAACCAAAGTGAGACAAGAAAACTTTGATGTGAACATTCACTGAAGCTCCTGACTCCATCTGCAGGAGTTCATGCATCGTACAGCTGCAACCTGATTGGCTGATGAAATAATCCCTTTGGTGCATCAATATCCGTGTTATTGATACTTTGGTGTATTGGTGTCGATTTAAAGTAAACACCTTTACATATAATGTCTACTTTAGTGTCATTTACACACGTCACCTACCAGTAAAGTGACCACCTTGACCGTCACTCCCTGCATGCCATTCTCTATCCGACTCTCTTTCAGGCTGCCGTTCAGTCCGTGCACCGAGTCCCACGTCGCGAGCTGCAAGACACACGGAGGGAAGACAGGGTGTAAACAGAGTACAGTACAGACACATCAGCGACACAAGGCTGAGCTTTATTAATGTTATTTGTTTGTGTGTCAAAGGTCCACAGAGAGAACACAGAGAGGTGAAAACAACAGGCAGAGCACCCGTCAATTAAACAAATGCTACATGGCTCACAGGCTGCAATTTTACAATTTATTCACTGGTCTCACTGGATTTCATGTTAGTCTGCTGCTGCAAATTAGACAGGGACAAAGAGATGAGTCTAGAGACTGAGGTAGAACCAAATTAAAAGACATCTATGCCAACAACCCACTCCGGCATGTTCCCATTCATCGCATTTTTACCCACACACAAAACAAAACTCACCTAATTGGGTCCAAAAAAATAAAACCCACCTCCTTCTCCAACAGCCTTTTCAAAGCCCCAAACATCCCTCTCAGAAAAATGAACTCCAGGAGCGTTGTGGGTTCATTTGCTTCATACAGACACTGAGTCCATGTACATGAATTAGACAGCAAATTAGACAGTATAATGTTGATTATTTTATTCAAACATCATAATGGTGTTTTTGTACTATAACAATAAATACTAATCATTTATATATGGTAGAGAAAAAACAGATGGAAAGTTGAGAGTGAGATTGTGTGTCCTTGGGGTCTAAGTACTCAGAACATCCTGTGTTTGATTCTGGTTTCAGATATTTGCTGCAGGTTTTCTCTTTTCTTTTCCTCTCCTCCTCTCTTTTCCCATGTTTCCTGTTGATCTCTACTGCCATCTTTCAAATTAAGGCAAAATTGCCCTAAGAACTATAGTATTAATAAAAAAAAAGACAAACAAAAGTCCTCCATAATAAACATAAATTTACTCCTAGTAATTCCAAAGTTTCGAGCCATAACAATGTGATGCTGAGACATGACTTTTTTGCCTTACTAAATAGAAATTAAGAGTCACAATTTTTACCTAAATAATATAACAAAAATAATATAAATAAAAGATAATTTAATAGTAAGTCAAAAACAAGGTTATATTTAATGTTTTACAATGCTCTTAAACAAGCATTATACTTGCTAAAGATTAGCCATTGTTGGCATGTTAGCATGCCGACATGTAGCTCAAAATGATATGATTTACAATACCTAACTTTGAGAAATACAGTATAAAGTATTTCTGTCATTTTACAATAGAAGCCAAACAAATGTCTTAACAGAAGCAGCTGAACAGTAATTTTGTCTAAAATTGCCAAACTTTTAAATCAGGAACAAATGAACACAACAAGAAATGCGGTACAAGCTTACTATACTTAGCAGTCTTTGATACTTGTTGCTATGGACACATTTTCGTTGATACCACAGGAGCCCAGCTTTCATCATAACAGGCGGCATTTTTCCCCTTTGATTTCTGGCTGTTTGTTTTTCTCAGCAGGTGCTTGCCATTAGAGCTTGTGTTCATGTATGTGTTCCATAATAGCACTGTGAATAAGGAGCGTCCCGTCACCATGGAAACACACACACACACACACACACACACAGTTTATTGATTAGGTGGAGGGATGATGGTTGAATCAGCTTGACACTCATGCATGTCTGTATGTACGGTCCCATGAATCCACACTGCATCAGTTTGCATCATTCCTTATGAGATGAAATGTGTTTGATTGCACATGAATCCCTCTCTTATGAATATGGACTCATTGTCGGCCTTGGTGTTACACATTTAAACAAATCGGTTTAAGGGCAGTTTCATGCATCAATGTAAAAAGATGAATAAAAAAATCAATTCAATAAAAACAGGTTACTTCTACATTAGAGAGGGCTAATAAAACAGTGTGATCAACCACGCTCCGATTAATTTTAGTTGACAGTTAATGCGAACACGCTCCGTAATCTCTGACAGAATGTCTTAATTAGCGCCGTTAAGCTAATCACACTATCTGTTTCTTGTTGTACAGTGTGCAGAGCTGTAAACAGCCAGCCAGGGTCATACAATAATACATCGCTAACACGCCCGCACTCGCCTGCAACAAATTGCTCCGCTAATGCTCTCCTAATGATGATGCTGCTGTTAGATATGACACAGTGAAGTGTGTTTATTATGCTCTTGTGGCAACGTAGGTTCTGTGATAATTGCAGGCTACTGCTGGTTTTGTTTGCAGTGATCAGGAAAAAAGTGTATTTACGTAAATATGGAATTGGTCTTGTTAGTCTCATCAGTCCTCTGTATTTAACATCCATCAAACCTGTAGAAAAAACAATTTGTAGAGTCACATTAAAGGGACAGATCAGAGGACTACAGTACGTGAACCTCGCAGTTACTTCAGGTGTCCAGGGTTCTGGAGTCTTGTTCTGGTTGAGTCATGAGAGCAAAAGATGAACAACTGTGTAAGAAAATATCTGGTTCTTAACAAGAATGGCCATAAAACCTGAGGGTGAGAAGTAAACTACATCTCCCATGGTGCATTTCAAGCAGAAACATGAAATCTCATAGCTTCTAATGACTGTATGTTGGGTGGGTTGCTAATGGCCTGATAAAACATGCAGTGGATTAAAATCATAGACTGTAAATAAAAATGCACCCCATCCATAGGTTTCTGAAGAAGCTCAGAGTGAGCTGCTCCAAGGTCACCATCTTGGCAGTGCCTGACTCCGCCCCTAACTCCCAGCTATTCCAAAGATGGTCAAAGAGGTGGGGCGTGTGTGGAGCTGAGACTTTCAGTGCATGCCAGTTTGTGGAAAGCATACGCTCACCCACCTGTCACTCAAAGAGGCCAAGCCCTCAATTTTCCATAACTTTATGCCTTAATAAAATGTAAACAGGTTGGTTGTATAAACAGTTGTCATGAAGGAGGAAATTAATTCATTTTTCAGCCCTGGAGGTTGCTGCTCAATTAAAACGAGTCTGGATCACTGTTGGCGACATCGTTCCCGATTCCAGAAACTGAATATCCTGAATTCTGATTGGCACTTTGACGGATCACAGTCAAAATGGAAGAGAAAACGAGATTTCTCAGAGACAAAGTTGAATAATTTAAATTTAAGACCATAAGACAAGATATTGAAGTATCTACACTATGTTGAAAATTGTGAAATGGGAATTTAGTCCACTTATCTGTGTAGCATAAATCACAAATTTACCCTGAAAGGGCTTCACAATGTGCACAACAGACCCTGTATAACAAACACGACCACATGAGCTGAACATGAGAGAAAAAGGACAAGAAAGAAACAAGAAAATGAAGAGGCGTTGAGCGAGCTGGGAATGATGGAGAGGCAGAGAGATAGGACGAATGGAGATGAGAGAAAGGAGGTGGAGAAAGACCGAAAAGGAAAGAAAGAGGGAACACTTGTTCAATAATCAGGGCTATTCTCAGCGCCGCTGTCCTCTCGATGATCTCCATCCTTCCTTCTTCTTTATGTGTGTGAGATAGTGGGGGTGTTCTTCATTAACACAGATAAATTAACTCCACAGCTTCCTATCTCCCTGCGTCCAGCCTTTGAACTGCTGAACCACGGCCATCGAAATTAACCAAGAAATGAAGAGAAGAAGGACATTATCAACAAAGGCTGAGGCTGTTCCACGCAGCGGTGACAAGCAGTTATTTTGTCCCTGCTGGATCAGTAATGAGGCTTCAGAGTGACAGTAAAACACAGCAGTGTCAGCAGGTCATCAGCAACCTGGAGGGGAAATGGGACTTTTACAGTTTTTAAGATGTCTTCACTGTCCCTAATCACACTGTTAATGGAGTCTGTTTACAGCACCACAGATACAGCACAGATTAGACGACTGTAGTGGAAATAAATAAAATTATGATGTTAAAGTCTGACTCGTGTTCGGTGACTCCCTTAATATCAAATGAATGCAGTATTTTGGGCTTGAAAAAACTTTTAATGGTACAATAAAAACTGTAAATTACTTTTAAATGAGTGTCATGTTCCCTGGTTACACTTACTACGGCCTCCTTCAAATGATGTACACTCTGTTCTGGTTTTCGTGAAGGTATTTTAAGAGTGGATTTGGTTTTGATAAACTAAAACACATCCCTAACACATGTTTGTATTTAAGCATTTAATACTTCATGAAATGAATGCTAATGAAAGTTAAATGAGCTACCAGCTAAAGTGGAAAACACATTCTGAAGATCTCCAAAGAGGTGTTCAGAGTTTTTAAGTTCCCTCCATTACAATCGTTGTTTTTACTCTTGGACGGTCCAGACACTTTCGGCCATGTTGCACCTTCTCCTGGTTCCAGACCTCTGAATCATGCCACATGACCAAAATAAGCCTGGTGCTGAGCTCATGCTGCGTTCACGTCATTTCGGAGAGAAGGTAATGTTAAGAAAGATTCCCATGTTTACGAATCGAGGGCGTTCACGCCATTGGACAACTCAGGATGGCGGCTGTATGTGGTCATGTGCTACAGCTTTTCACTCATTACAAAGAATCTGGCTGTTTTCACCAATGAAAACTAACGAAACAATAATTTCAAACTTCGAGTGATGGATGTTTTACTGCAGAGTTGAACTTGTGATGATTAAAAATACAGAGCTATAGTGCTATACTGTATCCGATTACTGTTACCAATACACTTCCGTACTTCAAGATCTTCATTTGCTCTGGGGAACATTAACTTAACAAGGAACTTACAAGGCAGGTTACTTCACAAGGAAGTCGGAGAGACGAATATGTGACTCCCAGCTCCTATTTGTTCTGCATTTATTCTTCAGTATGGCAGGAAATAACGGCACAGAAAATGATTGACAAACTGCTCCAAAATCACTCTTATTTCACCCTGCTGCCTCCTGTCTGCCATGAAGAGGATAATCATGTTAGAAGTGGTTTTCAGTTTTCTGCCATCACCATAAACTCAGTAAGCTTTATATCTCTGTCTGCTCTGGAAGAACAGTGCCCTCTGTCTCTGGATCCAGCAGATTCCCTTCTTAATCTGAGCTGGTGGTAAAAAGAGTAGAAGCTGCTGACTGTGTTTTTGTACTGATGAT